CACATAAAATACATTTTTCCAAGAAAGTTTAGCCTTTGTCACTAATGAAACCACTAAATAAAGACATAAATATAGAAATCTTAAGATTTGTTTTATTTAATGTTGGTAGCAGGATGATAAAATAGGGCTGTGTGATAAAATCCTTAGATGTTTCTAACCAAGGTAGACTCACAAAATCTAAGGTCCCAAAAAAAAACACTTTGAGTAAGGTAATAATTGAAAAATGGAAAATTCACATAGGGAGTGGGTATACTGTCTTTTCTAAACAAACATATTGGGGTTAAAAGAACCCCAAAATTAAAGTATTTAAGTATACAGTAGCTCTCAAAAAAAGGTTCTTAAGTAGTGTGGCGAAGTATTTCTGCTTCATTACATTATACCACTGGAAAGCAGGCTAGGTCATGTGCAAAGATTTATTTGAATGTTCTTTGTTGAGCTGGCCAAACAGTGCTGGAATTGGTTATAAATGAAACCAATCAGGATACCATATTCTTGTTATATATCAGCAACCCAAGCGTCTATTGGCCACTTAACAGATTCACTTCTTTTGTGCTTAATGCCTGTTGTGCAGAAGACATGACTTGTGACTGTTGGAGGAAATTATTTTTTCTTATGTGCTGGACCTACTGTATAGAAACATCTAGATAAAGTTAAACAAATTTTAAAGCAAACCCTTTGATATATATAAAAGCTTGCTTCTGTTTTTGCAATATTTCATATTTTCAACATACTGTACATAACTGTGGAGCGGTGGCACTGTGGCTAAGGATCTGCGCCTGTGGCTGTGAGGTTGCTGGTTCAAATCCTGTGGCTGGCAGAGGAATTCTACTCTGTTGGGCCCCTGGGCAAGGCCCTTAACCCCAATTGCTCCAGGGGAGCTGTACAATGGCTGACCCTGCACTCTGACCCTAAGCTTCTCTCCCTGTCTGTGTCTCATGGAGAGAAAGCTGGGGTATGTAAAAAGACAAATTCCTAATACAAGAAATTGTATATGGCTAATAAAGTGATCTTAACTTTCATAATTTTCAGTTTATGAACTGACTATTGGTAACCTGAAGCACTCTCTAACAAATTCCTCATAATTAAAGGCTACCTTTCAATGTGTTTATTTTTTCACAAAGAGCCAAATTGTACATTTTGAATTTTAATTATGTTTGCTTAAAAAACTTCCAGTAATGTTATTTGTCTTCTTTTTTTCTTTCGTTTAGTAAAATGTCAGATCCTGTAAGGAGCACTGAGACCCACAGCAGTGAATAAGATGAAGCCAAAGAAGTGTGCAAAATGACTGGAACAGTCTTCTTAAAATGAATGATACGATTGAAAATATGTATTTAAATTCAGACCTGCACTATCCATCAGTAATGAAAGTTGTTCACAGATGTAATTTGTTGCTTTGTTAAACTATTTACTTTTAATTCTTTCAAATTATAAGATAATGAGTTTAGTCTTAAGACAAAAGTTTAGTGTCTTGACTTTTTTCCACATGCTTTAATATCCTCTGTCTTAAATCCCTCAGTTCTCTCTAGCTGTTTCCTTTCTGGACTCAACAAGATCGTGCACCCACCTTATTTACAAAATCAACTCCCTTGGTCCCTCCCACACAGAACTGCCATCTGGTTTACTTGAACCCTTTTATCTCTGAATCCCTTGGACAACCTTTTCCCAAACAGCTCTTTACCTTTCTCACAGAATATTCCATGATTGGCCCTCTCTGAGCTTTGCACAGTATAAATTCTGCACAGTTTTTAGTCCAGTCCCTAATTTTGTTTAGAACAGACTACTGCAATTATCGCTAGACAGACAGATGGTGTTCTTCATCTTTCTGCTTTCCTTAAGCATCCAAAACTGCTTCTGATGTTTTATGTTGCATTGCTTCTCTTTCATTACTTCATTTACTTTGTATAGCAGTTGCTCGTCTCGTCCTATAAACGTTTTCAACATACCCACTCCTTTTTACCGATTACAATCACCATACTCTTCATCATCAACAACTTCACCATTCTTGACCTTTTTGTTTTAATAAAAAAAACAGCTGCCCATGAAAATCAAGGCTCTACTGTCTCTCACTATCGCCAACTGCTAATAAGTAACCTTTTCTAAACAAGTGAGTGGCTCAAAAAGTAAAGTCATTTTTTTATGGTGACACAAAACCATATGTTGTAGGCACTGCTGAATTAAGCTTGAGCTATGCCATTACCCAGATATGACCATACCCTGCAAAGTGCCAATACACACCTGGTCATGATCCAGTGGATCACAGCAGAAAGGCTTAAGAGAATCTACTTTTTTTGTCTTGAGCAAGTATCTTCTGGGACCTGCTGGATACATGCTGTTTAGAAATATATAATATATATTTATGTCATGTCATTTGCCAAACCGCTTTATATCATACTGTGTCACAGGAAGTTGGAGCCTATCTGGAAAGCAACGAGCGCAAGGCAGGTACACCCTGGACAGGGCGGCAGTCCATTGCAGGGCAAGTGCAAGCCAATCATACATGGGGACAATTTGAAGGCCACAGTAAAGGCCGAGGAGGGAAATTTGGCCCGGACATTGGGATAACTCCCTACTCTTATCGAGTAATGCTCGGGAATCTTTAATGACCACTGAGAGTCAGGACTTCGGTTTACCGTCTCATCCGAAAGATGGCGCCCACTACAGTATAATGTCCCCGCCACTATACCAGGGCATTAGGATCCACAAAGACCGCAGGGTGGGCGCCACCCACTGGTCCCGCTAAAACCAATTCCAGCAGCAACCATAGCTCCCCAGGAGGTCTCTAATCCAGGCACCGACGAGGCTCAACCCTGATTAGCTTCAGTGGGTAGCCAGTTGAGAGCTGCAGGGTGATATGGTTGCTAGCTATATATATTTATATGATATATAAATATATCCTTCAAAATACACTCTCCTTAAAGTTCCATAGTGCTTACAGTGTATCAGAGATTAAGATTCTGTAACGTGTTCTGCTGAGACATGTCACAGAAATGTAATTATTTCTTCCAGGTGTATTTAGATGTTTCAGTAGTTCACTGAAAGTATTTACAATTCTAGATTCCAAATAAAATTAATTAAAATTAATAAAATCATCAATATAATCTTTGTTATTATTATTGCTGTAAAACAAAAAAGTAAATGTTACTTCAAATCTTACATTAAAAACACCTACAATTTTAATTATGCAACTTATTATTGTACACATATTATTGCATCAGCACTGTTCTGTCCTCTTCCCTTCACATCTATAATATATTTAATTTTACATTAACTTAAGTTTCAATTTTCTGCACATTGTATCACTTATTGTATTGCACTACATAAATTATGAAAATTACATTTTAAAATGTTGAAATAATTAGACTTCAATGATTTCATATTTTTGTATTAAGAATGTACTAATTTTACTTTGCTAATTGTAATGCATGTGAACTGCTTTATGATTAAAGTGTCAACAAAATAATGCTAACATAAAGTTATGAAATAGTTCAAATCAATAGTTTTTATAACATCTAATATCTGCACACAGCATTAGTTTGAAAGCACACTGATGGTTGAGTATGTCTTAATGAATGGAATTACAGTATACATGGTTTACAGCTCAGCTCTAAACAAGCTGTTGAAAATGTGAAGTAGACGTATTGGATATTTTTTAGTTAAAAATAAGTAATGTAGTCCATCTACCGTCTATATCATTTTGTTGCCTTTTAATCAAGATGGATGGTGAATTCCAAACTTTGTTCTGTAATTTGAGAGTCAACATACTGTATATATACTGGATGGTGTTAAGAGAAATTAAATAAAGTGAAATGAAGACTACATTATTTCACTTCAAACTAAAAAAGTGAATGAAAAAAGTATAAAATGAAGTCTGGCACTTTATCTTTCCTTCACTAAGTAGTTCCAGCAAAACTCTCAATATTTATTTTGAGAACCGCAAGGGTGATTGGGATAACTCCCCAAAGCCATGATGTTGTGCCTGGGCCAGTCAGAGTTTGCAGCCCTTGATATCCTCAAACACCGTGTACATTCCCAAGTGGAGTTGCATTCCAACCAGGGCTGTTTATAGTCACTTGGGCAGATTGTCCCAGACTCCTCCCTCCAATAAATAAATAATAATAAAATAATTTAATCAGGTCCTGACAATATAAACCTTCATCTGCCGCTGATCTAGTACTATATCATTAACTTCTGACCTAGATAGTTCACTCAGCAACACTAACCTGCATCTCAGAAGGATATTCTGTCTGAAAGATTCTCTGTTCCTCCTAAACTTTGTCTGTTGCTTTTGCAAACACAGGACCAGTGACATGGTTACAAACTATCTGTGATTCTATGTGGTGGTGCAGCCACACTGTCTGATTGAGCTCTGATATGTGTGCTCGCCCCCTGTCTTATCAACTATTATTTTCCATCTAGATTCAATAATCACTGTTTGTTTCCACTTGACTTGGTATTCTCTGCCAGCCTCCTTTTCGCCAACTTACTTTAGGCTATCTCCATCTGCCTGTGTCTCTCTCCACAAGCCTTCTCTGGGTATCTGCTCTTGGACTCTAGTCAGTAAGATGTGGCTTTCTCCATCAACACATTGTGTCGTAACACAGGAAATTTAAAATTAACCACTTTCTGTGCTTTTATTTTAAACTCTCAATAGTGCTGAAGTCCTATATTTTTCATTCTAACAGATAAACTCTATGGCTGTAACAGCAGTTTAATATAAATCTTTTATCATTATACTTGTGGTGTATTTGGTGTTGAAATCTTGTCAGCTTTTGGTGTCAAAACAGATTATTTTGCTTAGATCTGTTACACAGCATAAGAGGTTCATATCATTGATCATTCAGATTGATATGTTTTATAAGTGATTTCATATTTGAGATAAGCACCTTATGTATAAGTACGTTATCATTTTTATGTAACACACTTCTTCAAACCATAATTTCTGTTCTTTAGTTGACCTCCGTTTCCTATATAAAAACAAGGTATTCAACACCACCTGTATTTAAGATTTATTTTTTTATAAATCATACAGATGCAGCCATTCAAAATGCGCGGTGCAAACCCGCGGTACGGTAACCTACCCACAAGCCACTTACCACAAGTAAGTGATTGGCTGGCCAAAATGACAGACAGGGGCACTCGTGGTGCATTGGTTGGTAGTGAAAAGATTTAATCATTTAATCTCTTTACTGTGCACATTTTAATCCGCTTAGTTTTGAATATTTATATGGAATTTTACCACTAAAGGGAAATTTTAGTAGCTGAGCATAAAAAGAAGAGGAGCATAACGTATTTGAAGGTCATAAACGATATTAATTTAGGAACATAAACATTACTGTATGTAAACTGTACTGTGTATGGCTGGTCTTGGTAGTTTAAAGAAAAAATACACACCAGTCTTTCATTTCTCCCTAAACATTTTAAGCATGAAAGTTTTATGAAACGGTACCCAAATATGCGATTGCTGTATAGAATGAATTTTAATTAATAAAAAATATTTAACACGAAAATTAAGCTGTTTACATCTTCCGCCTGAGAACAGTCACCCGTTGCTACCCAACGCAGAAACACAGCCACTAACTAACAAAGAGGACATTAGCTAGCCAGTATGATAAAGAAATAAATGATTATTTTGTTTATTTCTTTTGCACATTTATTTGAACATTTCCATCGATTGTACAAGCACTTGGAAACTGTCCAATCCCTAGTTCATCAAGCATTTTCTTTTACGCTGCGGGCATTCTCCTGGTCTGTGTCTTCTAGGATATAATGCCAGCGAACTCTTGTTTTTATGTCCACTATAAGAGACAATCTCCTTTGCTTTTAACCGAGCGTTTAATAATTTCCTAAAATGAAAATAATTTACTTTATTTCCCTCACGGGATCAATAAAAGTATCTATCATCTGTCTAAACTATGGGACAGAATTCTGGGGTCTCCCCATACCAGAGATAGGGTTTGGTAGGGCTTCAGAATGGTGATTGGCTGACACCATCTGACACCCCTCTGATTGGAGAAAAAAGACGTGCTGGTTTGCTGTACGTACATACTGTACAAGGAAGAGGATTTCTTTCTATTCGAAATGTGTATTTTAAAAGTTTAAGAAGTGAAAACCTTACAGCATACACAGATTTCAGGATCAAGATCGTTATCTTTGTCTTATGCATAATAATGTTCACTGCTCTGTCCAGCAAATTAATAATAAACTTTATTTTATATGGCGTTTTAAACGAAGAAACTTTTTCTTTTTAATTAGGCTCAGAATTAAACTATAGATCGTATTGTTATAAACTTTCCTGGAAAAATGTATTTTATGTAAACCATGTTTGCTATTGATTCATTTAGGGCTAGAATATGTTCATTGTCTTCCAATCGAGTCGAGTTGACATTAGAAGCTTGCCACGCCCGGACTGTTACACCAACACATTAGTATGTTAAAGCGATTTCATTGAGGAGCCTAGCTTTCTTAACTAGTAAGTACTGTACTTCCTTGGTTTTGGAGGGGGGAGGTGTCTTTCGCTGGAAATCTCGCCCCCTTCTACTTTGAAAATACCTGTGAAACCTGTTTAATTCGTCACAGCCAACACTCCCGCAGAGAGGGGGGTTGTACTCCGTAAGCCGGAACACATCATTATATGTTATCACTAGTATACTTTTAATACAATGGGCAAACGTTCCGAGGTCAAATTCTTCCAGCACGGGGGTACCTTTAAAGCGGAGACAACGCCACCGAAATGTTTTGGCGCGCCTTCTCTTTAAAGCCCTGGCCAAATATGAAGACAGTACGTACAGTTATAATTCGAACGGAATTAAAAACTACACATCCCAGTTACCATGGCGGTGCTTGTGATCATTGCGTTTAACCAATGAAACAGGGCGAAAAATCAGTCACATGACTTTGGGGAGTTTTGAAAGCTTAACCTATCAGCAACAAAGTGAAATTTACACGATAGGCTACCTCAAACTGTCCGTTACACGACTGTGTATGTCGCTTAAGCCACTCCTATTTGGCATTTTAGTTATGGAGGCGA